AGACAGACGGACGGAGTGATAGAGGGAGGGGTTGAGGTGGTGGGGGGTGAGGGCAAAGTCAAAGAGAGAGAGAGAGAGAGAGAGAGAGAGAGGGGAAAAGGATGCGATGAATAAGCAATCTTGGTTTCCAACTCTTGACGCTGGCATCTCAGGCTACTACCACATGCATGCAGTCTCTTCCCCTGCATTTCTGTGTCCTATTTGTTGTGTTTTGTCCTGTTTTGTGTCCCTTCCCTCTGAGTGTCCCTCCTTCAAGTGTCCTTGTCTCCTTGAAGTTGTCTCCTTCCTCCCTACTCCCAAATGTCCGCTTACATTAGTCCCTGACCCACTGAACCCTGTTTTCCCTTTGTAATCACTAGCCTGTTCCTATGCATGAACCAAAACATATGCAAACACACATGCATACATGTGGGACCACATGCAGCCGAAACTACATAGACACAATTAGAGAGAACACATAGAAGGACTATTTATTTTGGCAATGGGCAACGCCGTAAAGTCGCTTAAAGTTTTCAACAGGAAGGTAAGAAGGTTTTGCTTGTAGTCTATTTCCCTATAACTTTGTATGTTGCATGTGTTATTGTGTGCCCCCTGACATGACACAGAGGAAATCTGACTTGACCTGTGTTTACATAGCCGCTAGTGCAATCTGACTTCCATATTTGTTTTTAAGCCAACTATTGAATATGTATTTAAGGCTAACCTCTATGACATTTGGTCAAAGAAGCTTAAGATTAGTATTGTTCTAAGCAAAGTAGATAGGAATGAGGGATGCACTTCTGATTTGGTGGATAAAAATACATGCTCAAATTAGTGTCAACAATGTACCGGTAGAGAGCAAGACAGAAGAGGTGGTGCTTGACCTGCCTGCTCCAGTGAAGAGGTGAATTAGCTTCATGACAGTGGCTGTTGTTGCATTGTGACCTTTACCAACAATGCACTGGCTGCATCAACAGCACCTGCAAAATGAGACCAGAGCACACAGATGTTACTAACTGGTGTGCAGCTGTTGTCAAAGGTAGAAACATACTGAAGTACAAGTGCAGTTTTATCCTACTTTGTAAAGAATATGATAATATATCAACTGCAATATGCATTTAGACAACAATTTTCAACAGTGCAACAGAATTTAAAATATAAGCATCAGTGATGTCTAGGCTTAACAAAATACTCCTTGACAGCTACAATACCTGTACATTATAATATTTCAAAAATAGGAATACACATTCAGCATGGTAATTTTTTATTTTTAATGGAGCAATCATTGGAGAATAAGTCACAATGGCATAACAGTGGCTGTGTGGTTAACACTCTCAACACATAGTAAGAGAGTCCTGGATTGAATTACCCACAGCCTCCCTGTGTCTGGGTGGGTTCTTCTCTGGCAAAGTACAAATATCCCAATAAAAAAAACTCTTTAACAGTGGCATCTAATTATAAAACTAAAGTATGAATGAATAAAGTTACAGTAAACAAGTATTTTGTACTTCTGTATTGTTTATTTTTTAATTAGTTTAACTATTTCTGCAAAAGACAAGCTATAAAGCTTAATTAGCAATTAAAAAATAAAAATAACAATACCAAAAGATTTTTGCTTTTACTCCTTGTTAGTTATTTACCTGGCATTATCTAAAGCACATATAACAAGCAACTACTGATGCCATCTGTGTGAAGGAGAAGTTCAAAATGTTACCTTTATCTGCCTTTTCTTTTGGGTTATATAACTGCTAGCAAGAGGCTTTGTGGTACTTTTGTGGCATGATGCGCAGCCCTGCTCCATGCTTCACTTGGTCAGATTACCCAGTAGGCACTGGCTCCTGCAGTGGCAACTGTAGCATTGCATGAACTGAAATTAGAAGTGGCACGAGAACAGATGGAGTATGAAGGTCATTGGTGGAGCATGCACGGCACTGTCTGTAGTAAACATATAACTATATTTCATCTTCTACACATGTAATATGTATTGCACTCATTCACATAACTTGGAGATTTGAGGTCATGATGTAAATGGTCCCTTAGTCATTTGTTACACCTGAATGTTTTAACAAATATCTAAGGCAGGGGTCTCAACCTCATTTTGGTCCGGGCGCCGTATCCAACCTACCTTGATCCCAAAGGGGCCAGATCAGAAAACTCATGGCATATATACCCCAAAAATAGCAATAAGTTCAAATATTTGTAAAGAGAAACGCAAACTTTAAGAAAAATGCAATTTCAACACAATGTTTTAACATTAACTTGTATGCAAATAGGAATAAGTCAATTTTTCTTGGAAAATCCTGCGCTTGGCTTACACTTTTCTCATTTTGGACATTTTGCTGATGAGGGTGTCACGGTCAACAGTCAAAACAATCGTCCTTTAAGAGCGTTTGGAAAGAGGCAAGTCTTCATTTGTGCTGCTCTGGTGGGAGGCGCCACCCACAGAGGTGCTAAGCGGCGCAGAAAATTACCAATATTTTAATAGAAAATATAATTAAAATATTTTTGTAGAAAATCAGCTGAGAGCCAGATTAAAGGTCTTGGAGGCCCGGATCCGGCCCCCGGGCCTTATGTTTGACACCCGTGGTCTAAGGGAGCACTCTAGTCAAAGCCTGTCTCTGCTTGAATGATGAATATAATGAGGTTCTTAAATTAATGTATTACTAATTAACCTGTATGTTGCAGTATAATTTTGAGGGCTGATGTAAAGACTACTCGCTCTCTAGTAAGTGGGTAATTAGTGATCAAAATTAAATGGTTAGATAAACATTAGCTTTGGCTTTTATTATTTTTATATTGCCAGACTCATATACAATTTTGGCTCCAACATAATACGGTCTCACGGTCTCTGAGCAGTGAAGCAACAAAAAATGCACACAATTTTGGAGATTTACAAATTGCTCCTATTTGCTCAAACGAACTCTGATTTCAATGAAATTTGAAACAGTTGTTAAACTCTCTGCCCTGAAGCTACTTAATGTGAAAATTATTAATTTGGCGCATTAGCGCCCCCTATAGATTGAAACAAATTTTAATATGTGAGAATATCATTTGTTCCCAAATAGTTGTTCAAAAATTTCTGAAATTTTGCACAAAATTCCATTTTGGCATCCTGATCCAAAAGTCAATGACACCCATGTCATATTTTTATGGCGTTGCTATAGCGATGACATAAACTCTCCATTGGTAAAATCTACAAATTCTGGCACAAACTTTGGCCGATTTCATTCAAATTTTAATTGCAGGTTCACACCCCGACCCTGAACAGATTTATATAAGAAAATCTCAGGTGGGCGCAATAGCACCCCCTAGGGAAATTGCACGGTAGTGCCAAAATTTACTTTGTCGTAGACATATAAAATTTGGTACACAGATTCATGACATGGTCTCAATCAAAAAAGTGTAGGATGACCCCATGCCATTTCCCCATCGTGTTGCCATGGTGACAGGCTAAACATCTGACCTCCCAATAGGATGCCCAACAAAAACTTTGGTGTAGCCAAACCAAATTTGGTACACAGATGGATCATGGGAATAGGAACAAAAAAGTATATTACCTGGTTGCTAGGCAACCAACAGGAAGTCGGCCATATTGGATTGGGAGATTGACAAAGGCACAAATTCCTGTCCTCATATTTGAACGAACTCGTAGGGCGTTTGACCCAGACAGAATCATTTTGTATCATCTAGACAAGTGGGACATTAAAATTTGTTAAAAGCTTTTTAAAAGGTCAAAAGGTGTGACCATCAAACTTCGACGCCTGATAATTTGCACAAACTTTGGCCAATTTCACTCATATTTTAACCGTGGGTTCACACCCCGACCCTGAACAGATTGATGTAAGAAAATACAAAAATGGGTGCAATAGCGCCCCCTAGAAAATTTGTATGTAAAAATAAGGTTTTATCTGTCACAGATATACAACATTTGGCACCCACATTTGTGACATGGTCTCGATTAAAAAACTCAATGATGCTCACACCCCATTTACATTGTGTTGCCATGGCAACAAGCCAAAATTGTATCCTTGCCAATGGGACGTCCTTACACAAACGTTGGTGTAGCCAAACCAAATTTGGTAGCCAGATGCATCATGGCAATAAGAATAAAAATGTATATTGTGACCACGCCCCTTTACAAACCGGAAGTCTTGGATATTTTCTTTTGCCAAATTTAGAAAATTGCAGGGTTAAATTAAGATTTTTAGGGCTAGGGTTGGGGCTATGGTTAGGATTACGATTAGGGTAAGGTTTAAGCTTAGGCTTATTAGGGTCAGTGTGAGGTGTGGCGTTTGCGGGGCACGACGTTTGCGGGGCACGCCGTTTGCGGGCCGCGGCGCAAGCACAAGCGAGGGCCGATCATTGCCGCTTGCGGCTATATTTATCTTTATTTCCATAGCACCTTTAAAAAATGTACAAAGAGCTTATGTATTTACTTTTTTTTTTTTTACTTTGTGTGTCAAGAATATTCCTTCTGATTACAACAGTCCAAGGTCCAAATTGCAGAGACAGGACAGATTTACTCTTAATATTTAACTCTTCACCTGAAATTTGTATTATGCATGTAGTTAATCATTCTATGGCTTTGAGCACAGTGCTCTATCTGACATTGTGTTGACAATCAGGTTATTTTGGTTTCGTAATGTGAAAAGACATTTTTGCAAACGTCCACAGTTGGCCCTTTGGGAGATGGTATGTTTGTTTGTTGTGCCCTGTGGTGACTGGGAGCAGATGGCATCAGTTGCTTGTGTATCTCTGACTGCAGTGGTTGCTGTATTATGACTAACCAGAGCCTACACCTCTGTTTGAGTGGCACATGTGTCTGTCACTTCCAATTTCCACCTTCATTAAGTGACTCCATCATCTTTTAAACTGACTTAAGTCCTTACCCCTGTCTCTGTGTCTGCTCCAATCCTAACCTGGCATCACCCCAGGACCAGAAGAAGAAGTACAAGGCAGTGCAGTCCAGTGAGGAGGGGGGCTCTGGGGGGGCCTATCTAGAGCCGCTGGTGGCCCTAGCCCAGAACGGAGCTACCATGCACAACGTTTTGGGGCCCGCGTGCATCTTTCTGCGCAAAGGCTTCGCTGAGAGCCGGCAGGCTGTACGTAAGTCCAGGAAATATCGCTGCATGAATGGACGAGATTAACATTCAAATCAGCAAACAATGTCCAAAACATTCTCAGCAAAAGATGTGCGTAAAATGCTTTCATCTGGTATCCATAATTACACTCAAGAGGCTCTTTTGAAACATGGAATATGATTTCCTGGGAATAAGATTATTTGTATGTCAGTTGTTGTTGAATGTCTTGAGACATACGTGTGAGTGTGTGAATCCATGTATTAGGATGTGACTCTCAACACAGAGGACATTTACCTGGAGGGAAGATTATTACATCACAGCTGTAGTAGATAATGTTCTTCACTGACATTTCTTTTTCAGATTTAAAATTCATGCCAGTAAAATTGTGGAAGTTGTTTAATGTCACTGCATCGTGTACGGGTGATCCTAATGAACAAACGTGACAGTGAGACAGTATATTTTAAGTTGATTGAGTTATCCTGCCATCATCTGTGTCCTGTTTTCCAAGAGGCACATGCCACAGCAGGAGATGTGAGTAATAATAAGCTCCTCTTTCGGGGGGAGAGAGCCTCAGGACTTCTGGCACTCTGAACATACCTATAGTTTTCTATTTTTGACCACATTGTGTAGTGAAAGGACGGCTGTTCACTGGGAGCTTTGGAAACGTTAGCAGGCATTGGACTCTAACCATCAACTGTGTCATTTTTGCAGGACCGAGAGTTAAGACCAGAGGAAATGGATGGTAAGTTGAATTCAATATATGGGTAAATAGAAATATGTTTATAACCATTTATCTAAATCTGTAATAAATTCAGGTACTGTTTGCAGAGTTGCGTGAGGCATTTCGAGAGTTTGACAAAGACAAAGATGGATTCATTGGGTGCAAAGACCTCGGGAACTGTATGAGGACTATGGGCTACATGCCAACAGAGATGGAGCTGATTGAACTGAGTCAGCAGATCAACATGAACTGTAAGTATGGTGTTTGAAAATACGAAAATCCCTGCAATTTCATGTGGTGGTGTAGAATGATGACCTTGTTTCCCTTCCAACAGTGGGAGGGCATGTGGACTTTGAAGACTTTGTTGAACTCATGGGACCCAAACTTTTGGCTGAAACAGCAGATATGATTGGTGTAAAGGAGTTAAGAGATGCATTCAAAGAGGCAAGTGATGAGTCTAAAAGGGAAAGAGACCCAAACATATGTAAACCAATTTACCAAATTTTAGAAGTGATACACATCAGTGACAACTTTTATACATATATCATTATGAAGAATATTTTTTTTACATTTGGGTATTTGTTTACCGGTAGTTTGACACAAATGGGGATGGAATGATCAGCACAGCAGAACTGCGTGAGGCTATGAAAAAGCTTTTGGGACAACAGGTAGTGATAGACTGCCATGCTTTGATCTGTGTCGTGTATGTGTAACCAACGTTCTTACTTATTCTTCATTAGGTTGGTCACAGAGATCTAGAGGACATCCTCCGAGACATTGACCTAAATGGAGATGGCCATGTAGATTTTGAAGGTAAATTATAAAGGAAAAGCTTTAAAGGGTTATACTACAAATGTAAAAGGGAATGCCTACCCACTTGGTGAGATATACAATAAGATGGTTGATATTGTGTTGATCGTGAGGTGAAGACATCAAGGAGGTCCTCAGTCACATCTATCACCTCATAGACTACCTACATAGAAAATATACATCTTGGAGCAATGCTACGGCAATTGTTATACATGTATCAGGGTTCAACTATTGCTTTCTTTCTGTTTTGTAGAATTTGTGCGGATGATGTCACGATGAGCAGAACAGAAAGACTTGACAAGTTCTTAATGCTTTATTTAACCTCAGCAAAAGGGAAGAAGAACAGATGACTGAACTTCTGTTATTAAACATATCAGCCCTGTCTGGAGTCTGCCACGTGAGGCCAGGGGCACACTGTTGACCTGATGTTGCTGCTGTTTTGTAGACCTTAAACTGGATTTGGGCTTCACAGATTATATTTATATACAGTATATTGAAGTGTTATTTGCAATACTGGGTATATGAAAAATCACTTCACCATTTGGTGCAATGTAACTGTAGCAATCCTGAGCATATGACAGCAGTATGCCAGCAAAAGCCTTTAAATAATAGCATGAACTATTTTATGAAATCAAGACATACAGCACAAATAGAGAGGCAATAACTAAAACAAGTTGTGGTGTGAGATTTGTGTGTTTGTGCACTGATGTCTCTTTTTATGTTCTACTGTAATGTTTAGTTAGGACTTTTTTGTTGTGGTGTAGCAACCATGCTGTTTCAGCAACATTAAGACTGTCTTACTGTGGTAAACTACATGTGTAAAATATAAAGTAATTCATATTTATAAAGAATACTTCTAGAATGTGGAAGGTTCCAGTATTCTCTTTAACTTTAAACATATATATGGCAGGCCTAGTCTAACTGAAGGTCTAACTTCAGAAATAAATAATCCATTATGCCCTTTACCTTAATTGAAAAAAGAAGCAATAAGCTAGGCTATAAAACTGCTTCTTCAATGCTAAAAGCCAAAGAACGTTTACATATCTGTCGAAATCATTAATTTAAGTAAAAATCCAAACATTACTGTGGCAGCTGAATTGTGTATGACCATGTGGGTGGGGTGATCCAATATGCATGCATTTCAAGTTAAATATGCCTACTAAATAAAGGGAAATCTTTCTATATAATTTTACATACAGTGTCTGTGGAACTATGCATGCAAGGAACAATGCAGTTTGTAGCAAAATATTAACTAATAAAATCTTGTTTTTTTTTAAATCAAACTATGTGTTTTGTTTTGTTTTTATGTGGAGCATCATGACCCAGACTACTGCAAATAACCTCAAAGAAATGAAAACAAACTCAAACTCCTCATCCTTAGCACAAAGTATTTGTCTGACAGTGCTATCCCTCCTGTTCCTTGTGTATTATTACATATACAGGAAGCGATTTGGATGGCATTGTCAGTATACCGTACACCATTACTATAGGGCAGTGCTTCTCAATTATTTTCTGTCATGCCCCCCCTAGGACGAATAAAACATCTCGCGCCCCCCCGCGTGACTATAGATAGTATCATTTGTCTATAAAATTGTTATATGACGCCAACAATGCTCGCTGGTTTACTGAAGTAGCAGTCACAAGCGGGATGATTGTCGGCAATATTCGGCACGTTTTCGCTGAAAAATCTCAAGCGGCTTATCAGAGTGATTGGGGTGTAATGTATTTAAGTGACGCCTTAATTTATTGGGCTTCATGCTGTCCGCTGCCAACATTTTTAGACACAGTAAGCACACCGGTCTTTCCTCGTCTCCCACCGTAGTCACAGTGAAGCCAAGCGCTACATATGCTTCGTCATATTTCCTCGTCTTAGCTTTCGGGAGATTTTCGTTTGTCTCTTTATCTCCGTCTCTCTCCGCCTGTCTTCTCATCCCTGTTAAATATTTTTTCATAGTGTCACTTGAGCGTCTGCTACACTTCGTGTCTACACTTCATACTCAAAGTCTGTGCTGTGTGCAAAGCGCGCATGCTCAGTGCAAACAAAACTCCTACACCACCGAGCGAATGCTCCCTGCGCACACTCTGCCAATGAGAGCGCTCTGCCCCCTAATGTAGTGGAAGTGCAATTGCACTTTATTCTAAAGGCCCGTTCAGACCAAAGCGTCAAAGCGTCCACTTTCTATGCAAAGTCTATGTGGACGCGCGACTAGAGCGTCCTGCGTTTTTGCGGCGCGTTTTCGGCGTCAGCGCGGCGCGAATCTGGCGTCAGCGCGGCGCGTCTTCAGCGTTTTGGCGTCAGCGGCCAAGACGCGCGTCCAAGGCGTCAGCGTCAAGAAGTTGAAAATGCTGAACTTTTCGCGTCAGATGCGCCGCGTCAACCAATCAGGGACGAGTATCCAGAGACGCAGCGACGTTATTATCAGGAAGAAAGACCCGAGAACCAGAACGAGAACCACAAACATGAGCGGAGAATAAATATATACGCCACAATCACCGAGCCGATCGCGAGGACTACACCAGGACCGGACCAGGACCAAACCAGGACTAGACCGGGACTAAACAAGGACTAGACCGAGACTAGACCGAGACTAAACAAGGACTAGACCGGGACTAGACCGTGATTAGACCAGGACTAGACCGGGACTAGACCGGGACCAGACCGGGACTAGACCGTGATTAGACCAGGACTAGACCGTGATTAGACCAGGACCAGACCGGTATTAGACCAGGACTAGACCGGGACTGATCCTGTGTCATTAGCGGAGTAGAAATATATATACGCCCCAGTCGTCCACCCGATCTCCTCCGTTGATGTTTTATGTCATAAAAACACTCTCTCAGTCTGGTCTGACATTGTTTCGGGAAAAGAGCGGGACCGGGCTCTTGTTTCCAGGGCAACGGACGCGCGTCAAGTATTTTTGTCCCGTTCGTCCACGGCGTCAAAGACGCGCGTCGAGGGCGTCTAAACTCAAATGCAAAGGCTCCAAATAGAGGCGTCAAGGCGTTTTTTGACGCTTTGGTGTGAACGGCCCTTAAGACAGTAAAAAAAAATCTAAATAAAAAAATAAAAAAGCATGTTCCCCGAGGTCAAACGCGCCCCCCTTGACGGAGCCTCGCGCCCCCCCGGGGCGGGGGGCCTCACGCTCTGCGGACAAACTGATCGGCGTTCTCTCTCTTAAATCCAAGATTAGTCCTGGTTTACACCTGGTTTATTCCTGACCCACCCGTGCATAAAAAAAGAAAAAAAAAAAAAAAAATCCGCGAAAGGACGAGACCTTTCGACTGTACGACGACTGTAGCTTAATGTCGAGGCCCCCCTCCCAACCCCGGTAAGGTGTCCGGGTTTTCACAAATGGAAATATGGTTACCCTACGTTACAAGGCAGTTAAAAATTTTAAATAAAAAAAGTTTATAAAATAAATGTGTCTACGTCTAACATCACCTTGCTAGTGACATCTGTGGTGGACCGACGATAATCAGATTAGGAATTCAACTCCCAGTTTAACACGCTCAGCTCAGTCTCAGTCAGACGCTCTTATTTGGACACCTGTTGTCATAAAACTCTTCCTACAGCCTCATAACACGAACATTTACTTGGCCCTAGAGACTGAGAGGTGTACGAACGAAAGGACTGTCCATGTGTAGGACAATATGAAGTAATGCTATGTCAGCACAGCACTGCCATGTCGGCATGGTGAGTGTCAGAAGATTAGCTAGCTATAAGATGCACTAGCTAAAATAGCTAACTGACTGCCAAATAGCGTGTTATTAATTTAAGACGTGCACTCAAACATTGTAAATTGTACTCTTTTCCAGATTTGACAACCTGCCACCATCCGGTTACATTTTTCACAATTTTTTAAATATTTTATCTTTTTTTTTTTTTTTTTTTTTTTTTTTTTTTTTTACAGAGTTATATCTTGACTTTGTGAGGCCATTGTTTTTCTTAAACCATGACTTGGTTTGTTTTTTCTACTGAGAACCTGCTGTGCAAGTGTGTCTGCATCACTGTCACACTATGGTGGACTCATCTCTTGATCTTTGTCATTGTGCCAGCTGTTCTTGGAGTTTCCTTTGGCATGCGCTCATTTTACATGAGATTACTTCTAAACGTATTCAAGGTATGCCAGTGCTGCAAAAAGATTGACTTAGACTAACTGTTATAAGAAGTAATTCAGAATGGGACTAGCCAGGCAACCCAGCTAAAGAGAATCTGTGCAACTAACGATGCAATGGGGAGCACACGGTTGAGATAATAAGTCTGTGTAAGGACAGCACATGCTTATGTCACAGTTATGTGAAATCTTGACCTTGTTGGGTTAAGACCCCTGAGATTACACAGCTCTGTGGGAATGTAATACACCATGACTTTTCTGGTGCCTGGGCCTTCAGGAGGCCCTGGGGGAGATTTCCGCTTTGCAGTTGAAGTAGACAGGGTCAGAATTGTCATGTTGAAGAATTAGGCAACATTTTTATTTATTTGTCTATTTATAAGTTTACAGCAGTATTTTGGAGCAATGTGAGCATAACTTCAACTTGTGAAAAGTCACTTAAAGTAAATAACCTTCTTTTTAGTGGGCAACCCTACGGATTGAAATTGGAGCAAAGGAAAAGAATGAGGAACTGTACAAACCATATTGTAAAGGTAATGGCAATTGCATTCACAAATCAAATGAAATGTTTTATGTAAAATCTTCTTTAACCCATGGGTCTTTTAGGTATAATAGCAAAGGAGCCAACGGTGTCCCTGAAGCATGAGATGCAAGAGCTCAGGAGCTCTGCCAGCTCAGAGTTTAAGTTGGCAGACATTCTGTATTTTAGTCGCAGAGGAGTAGAGAGCATCGTGGATGATGAAGTGACCAAGTGCTTCTCAGCTCAGGAATTAGAGAGCTGGAATCTGCTGACTCGAAGCAACTACAATTTCCGACACATCAGTGTGAGACTGACGGTGCTGTGGGGGCTAGGGGTCCTGCTCAGATATGGCATCATGCTGCCTCTCAGGTCAGCGTGATGAAGTTTGAAGTTACTTTGCATTGGTATTCTATGTTTTATAATTTACATTTTAAAATATAAGTCATTTTTGTCCATTATTTCTGTGCATGCAAAACACCACTTTTGCCAGCAGAGGAGATTTCAGTGGATTTATAAAACATGACAAACACTACCTCCAGTTGAGTGTTATTAGGAGTTATAGGGACATATTGAAAAAGCAATACTGAAAGCATGCATGAATTAAACCAACTGAGGTATATTTAGGGAACAATCATTTAACCTTTTTGAAAGTCAGTTAAGTATAATATGTAATTAATTTAATAAAATGACAAATTAAATAGATTAATGTTAACTTAATTTGCGTTTCAAGTCAAAGGTATATGTATGCTATATGCCCACAGGGTAGTGTTGGCTATTACTGGAATCATCCTGCTGATAGTTTTGACAACACTAGTGGGATTTTTACCAGAAGGACAGTAAGTGCATTCATCTCAGCTTTAACATTAAACTACAAAGACAACTTTAGTAAAACTTTAGGAAACTATAGTTTTTAATTTTGTCTTGTGTTTGTCTGTGTTTAGACTTCGTTCTAGGCTAAGTGAGAAGGTTCATTTGATGTGTTATCGCATTTTTGTAAGAGCTCTGACAGCAATTATTACCTATCATAACCAGTAAGTCAAATTCAGCAATTCAGCGTATTATGCTTTATGTTGGCTAATTTGTTCATATTAAATGTTTACTTGCATGTTTGTTACAGGGAGAATAAACCCAGGAATGGTGGGATCTGTGTGGCTAATCACACTACTCCAATCGATGTCATAATCCTGGCCAATGATGGTTGCTACTCATTGGTAGTTTGTTAGTTTTTTTTTTTTTTTTCTCAGACTCTGAAGAATTATGTAAGCAATGACATGAATGAGAGTACTTCTTTCTGCCTCAGGTTGGGCAGGTGCACGGAGGTTTAATGGGAATACTGCAAAAAGCCATGGTTAAAGCTTCCTCACACATCTGGTTTGAAAGATCAGAAGCCAAAGACAGACATCTAGTGGCCAAAAGGTACAACAGGAAGGTGACAAAGATAGTGTAAAACTTCTAGGCCGATCTAGTGGTGTTAATCTGTTATTTTGCTTTCAGACTTGGTGACCATGTTGTAGACAAAAACAAACTGCCTATTCTCATATTTCCTGAAGGTTTGTATAGCATAATACATTTTACAAATCCCATGTAATTTCTTATCCTTTTTTTCCCTGTGCATTTTTCACAGGGACTTGCATAAATAATACATCAGTGATGATGTTCAAAAAAGGGAGCTTTGAGGTTGGCTGCACCATATATCCAGTGGCCATCAAGGTTCAATAGGATTTTATTTTCACATTGGATGCCTCTAGCCAATTCTGTTTTCATATTTGTATGTGGGACTATGTTTTAGTATGACCCTCGCTTTGGGGATGCTTTCTGGAACAGTAGTAAATTTGGTATTGTGAATTACCTGCTTAGGATGATGAGCAGCTGGGCTATTGTTTGCAGTGTTTGGTACTTGCCTCCTATGAACAGGGAGGTAAGGTTTCACTGTGGTGTAAAATGCTCCAGTATTGATTATGTTTGCATGGTTTATGTTTCTTTTTGTGCCTGTTAGGGAGGTGAAAGCGCTGTAGAGTTTGCCAACAGAGTGAAGTCAGCCATTGCTTCACAGGGTGGTCTAGTAGATCTTGTATGGTAAGTTACTGGTTTAATAATGTTTTTAGCTAGCCATCATTTACAAGAATGTGGCAACACATTTTTAAATATGATCAAATATGACACAAGCTTTTCAAATATCCAATAAAACGGAAATTATACAAATAATATTGTGCAACCAGTAATCTTGTCATTCTGTTATTAATATTGAAAAAAATGTTAGCGAAATAGCGGCTCTCTTTTCTGTTTTAGGGATGGAGGATTAAAACGGGCAAAAGTAAAGGATGATTTCAAAAAAGAGCAACAAAAGCTTTACAGCAAAGTTCTTGTGGGTGACCAGGACATGAGTGAGCAATACAGAAAGACACTTTCAGAGGAGAAACTGTCAGAAAAGGAAACTTGAATAAGGAATGACAAAGAAATGGAATACAACATAAGGTCTGTATTTGCTATTTTGATGAGGACCAAAGAAACATTCACATTTGTGTATTCCTATTTTTCAAGTAATGAGGATTTTAAGGTGTTTCTGCATTTTGCTGAAGCAGTATTTCTAATGTATGTATTTTAGGCTAGACGTTACAACTCGTTACATAACAAAATGTATTTGTGCTCAAATTTACCTATCTCCTCTAATTGGATTAAATCTCTATGTTTGTTTATGCTCGTTTTTGTTTAAAGCCACCACACACTTTGCAACTCCTTCATGGCATATTACCATCCCTCATACATTTTTATTTTTTATTATACATAATTTATAAATACAAAGCCTAATTGAATTTGAAAAGATGTACTCTTATGTGTCAACCAGTAGAGGGCAGTGTTGTACACTGCAAATTGCAATACGCGGACAATGTTACGATAGACAATAGGTCTTAAGATAGGCAATGAAATAAACAGGCATGTTTGAAGAATAGGTGGCTGAACTGTCACAGCAAGGGTTTGCACAGTACACTTTGACCTCGTTTATTTTATAGGCATCCCTTGGATTTTTATTGTGCTGTATGCTGTTCCGTTCAAACCTTACTTGCCTTGGAATGATTTCAAATAAACTATTTTCAGTGACTCAGGCATAGGTTCACTTTTTATAGCTCATTGCCGTGTCAAACAGCTGTCATTCAGACTATTAAAACAGACAGGTCTGCTGTAAAATAGCCTGCTCTTCTCCGGGTAAATGAATGTCTCGTACAGTGAGCTGTTATGCTCTCGTATCCCAGTCATGAAACCTGTTAATCTGAGGGCGTGTCTTCACAGGCCGCGCCCAATCAGCTGTTTCCTTCATTGGATTCCCTTGAGCGCGTGGTGGTAAACTTCTGTTTCAAACCTGCTGTACTTGGAGGGACACGGGTTACTGAGGTTGCTGTTTGTTTCTGGAGAGTTGTAAACAAGTAAACATCATGTCGTTGTCGGATCAGCTGTGGAGTCCAACAAGTGCCCAGGTAACGGTGCTTCAAGCCCGTGGCCTGCGGATAAAGGGGAAAAACGGTACAAACGATGCGTACGCGGTGATGCACTTGGGCAAGGAGAAGTACCAAACGTCGGTGGCGGAGAAGAGCGTGGCACCCGTCTGGAAGGAGGAGGCCTCTTTCGACATGCCCTCAGTCCATCAGGGTGGCGCGGAGCGGGACACGCTCCACGTTCACGTTCTCCACCGGGCCCTTGTGGGTCCAGACAAACTTCTGGGGCAGGCTGTCATTAACCTGGTCCAACTCAGCGAGGACAAGAACAGAGACAAAACACAGTGAGTAAACTGTAGGCCATGGTACACTGGCCACATTCAGAAAATAATGATTGTCCCCATGGCTTTGGTCCCACAGGGAAAAATATAAGACACACAACAAACATGGATTAAAAGATATTGAACAATGGATACGACAGATTTGCCAACGAGTAATTGCGTATAAGCTATTAGAAATGCCCTATTAAAAGTCTCAAGACATTAGGCTTTCAGCACCCAGTTTAATATCTTCCAATTTTGCATATTCTAAAATTGCTAAAATTGACTGACCTTTTTTGTCTAAGAAACTACGTCTAAGAAACTTTTTGAAAAAGTGATCATAAAAAGTAGTTGGCCTATATTGACATACCATGACTGTAGTGTTTTGGATCTCTTTAGACATCTTATTTATCATTTACTATTCCTGCCATGCCATTGCTAATGTGACACTGCGTACAGAGGTGTCAAAAACCTCTCCTGTGTTGCACCAATCTAAATTCACTAGGAGTGGCACCTCATATCAATAACACAACACTATGGGTCAGTATAGGAAAAGTAGTACATATGCATTACCTTTGAGAGCCTGTGTCCTATAGTTGCACTGAACATGCAGTAATAGCTATTTACATCTCCTCAAGTCTCCTCAAGTCATGTCATTGTCAGTTATGAAACCAGAACATGCTCTGTAATCTCACTAAACCAAATGCTATGTTGTATTAAAAAATTGGTTGTGTTCAAGATGTGGCAGCATCGATTTTGTATACATAGTCATATCCAACTGCAAGAGCCAGTCACATCTGAATTTGTGAAGGAAGTGACTGTAATCCAGTTTGAACTCTTTATGGAATTAATTATCATAACAGTTGTGAAGTTATAATGTTTCCTCCCAGTAATTATAAGTATGACAATCTACATAATGCCATATCTAATTATACACAATAAAAGTAAGTACACATAGTTCACCTTTGCGATCACTTTTTCATTGAGCAAGTGGGCACTTGTGGTCTGAATGATTTAACATGGCGCAAATCTGGTTTAGGCGTGGACAGGCCACTAATGATAATGCTTGTTGCATTTGTAGTATTTCTGAAGTCAGGTAAGGAGAAAGTGTTGTAATTGTACCTGCAGACATATTTTGTTTGTTTGCATTCACTGTGTTAAGCTTCTTTTCAGCCCCCTGCTGTGGGAAAAGAACTACACACATCACATGGTGTGTGCAGCATACAAAAGTATTTGCACTAAAGCTCGATATCTTTATCCGCTTTTGTGCTGTTTCAGTTTCTTTTCTGTCTAGACTTGTTAGTATTGTGTGAGAAATCCATTAGAGATTCAAAGATTTTGTAAGGCCTGGCAAAATGTAGCTTTGTCTTGATGATTATGCGTCATATTTTAGACCCAAAAATGTATGTGTGGTAAGATTTTGATTGGACTGTGCTGTAGCAATTGTAGAAGATACATATACACTATTGAACTGGGCCTGCAACTGCCTGGTGTTAGTAAATGTTTGTTCTGACCACTCAATATTTTATGTGGATTCTCCTTGCAGTGCAGCTTTACTTTAGCTACACATTCCTGCAGCGTTTATCAGTGAAAAACAAATAGAGATGGCAACAGGCAAGGTCAGTCACCCTGGGCACCACTGCTGTTTGTACTGACTCCCACAACATGTCCTGTGTGTAATCTCAAATCCCAAAAGGCATGCAAAGAATGCCAGAAGACTTGGGTACCATGCACTTGGGCATCCTTGGAAAGCTTTAGCTATTTTCTGTAGTATTCTAACAGTTACCTTTGGACATTTTGGCAGCATGGTGACTGGGTGACTACACTTCCAGACACTTGTACCTCACAGCAAAAAGGTTCTGAGGTCAACTCCTGGGACACTGGGCCTTTCTGTGCAGTTTCTCATGTCTGGATGGGTTTCCTCCGGACACTCCAGTTTTCTCCATCAACCCAAATCATGTACAATAGATAAAATCCTCCGGCTAAGAAGTCCTGAACAAGCCTACAGGGTCCCTGAGCACTTTACTGGATCCGCTCACTGCTCCTGACAGGTTTCCCCAGTGACACTGAAGGATGGGTCAAATGCAGACAGTGAATTTCTCTCATAAGAAGACCTTTATTTGTCCTACCAGAGAGAAATATATAAATATAAAAAGATATTCCCAATTGCAGTATTTGTCAGGAAAAGAAAGTTAATTAGAAATAACTGTCCAACATTGTTCATTCATAAACTGCTTTAGTTTAGGATAGGTTAGAATAGATCACTTTTTTCACCTGTCCCAAAATGTCATCTTGTGTCACATTAAAACCCATTATTTATTCAGTCTCATTAATGTAGCCTCCCAAATACACAATGACACATTTATACAGTAAAGTGATGCATCTAAAAGAACAGAGCTCTCTCCTTGGACTTTTGCTGAACTGCTGGCATGTATCACCTGGAGGTATAGAGTTTCTACATTTAATTGAACTGTTCTGACCACTTCACCATGCACTCAAAGGACTGTGTTGATCTGTGCACAGTTGAGATGCTAAATATATAATAATAATAAGAAGAAGAATGGTATTATTAATAGCCTTTTCTAAAAATATTTTCAACCCTTGAATGATAAAGACAAACTACTGAACTGAATGAAATGAATGAATGAAATGTTACGTTGGTATAATAATATAAAACTGATGTTTTTGTTCTTCTGAGTTTCAAAGTGATATTGATATTGTGATTCCTATATCATCCCAGTAGTGACTGAAATGTGAGCAAACAGTATTGTTGTACTGTATGTATCTCAAGTGGATATTATCATTGCAGTTGTTGGTCTGGCTCAGCTCCTCCCCTCCTGGCCCATGCAGCTGCAGTCTGTGATAAGACTCACTCTGGCCTTTGTCTTATCATGGACAAGGCTCCGGGAGGAAGGACAAGAGCTTGCAATAAGAGAACTGCGTGTACACAGTCATGACTCACGCTGTCTGTGAGTTCACTTCATCAGCACATCCTCACTCACTGTTGAGTGAACAGACTTTTAATTCCTCCTTCAGCACATTGCTCTTTTGTAGTAATATCCATTCTATTGTGACACTTCCCCTAGTACGTGAAAGTTCTGCTTTTTGAGGAAGTATTTGTTTAAGGGTTTGTGAGGTTTTGGTGGAGATAAAATAGTAACTTATGATATTTCCCAGTGAGATGTTTGAGTTCTGCTAGTAATACTACACACAGTGTTCACAAGATTTCAGTTAGAATATTTTCAAATACTAATACAGTATTCAAAGACAGGGCCTGTGTCTATCATTTCAGTGATTTCTGTTATTATTGGGCAGGCTGCCAATGTCATCATTAAGTATAAGTATAGTCAATGGCTAAAAAGAAGAAAGAGGAATGGATTTGGTCTCGTTCAAATTCCAGGCATTTCCTTTTCTAATTATTCAGTTCCAGACTTCCAAATGAGCAGTGACCTGCTTTGTGCCAGTGGGTGAGGAATGAGGTCAAACTACAACTACAAACTACAACTACAACAAACTACAACAGAACGTGGCCCTGCTGTAGTTTAAGCACAAATAATTTAAAAACTCAGTCACACATGTCCCTCTTCATTTCCTCTGGAATCCACTTTGCTGTTGAGTTTGTTTGTACAGGGAAGAGCACACTTCTGCCTGATAGGCATTTTTTTTTGCTGACATTGCACTTTTTTATGATTTGTAGAAGATTTATTATGGAGAGACATTTGGAAACGAAATGCTGTCACTTCAAATAGGCTATATATTGCAATTATGCAATATTGTAACATTTACTTATTAATATGGTGCTACTCATACACACCCTTCCAGCTTCAGCACTGCTACTGTTACCACATCACTATTTCAAGTGAAATGCATTACTTTCAGCATTCTGTAATTGTGATAATATCTTTCCTATTCAAGCAGAATTATGATTTGGGAGGAAATATAAATCAATTTGTTTAGTGAGCAATTTTACAATAAAAAGATGTGTATAATGCATGGCTGAGATTGTACTTAGAAGTTTGGACGTGATTAACACGGTTCTTGTGTTTAGACTAGGCACTGATCTTGTTAGGTAACAGCTAATTCTGCACTTAGGCAGTTAAACGTCTTAGAAACAGTGGACACATGTAGTACTTTTAAACAAATGGGAAGTAATGAGCTCCATTAGAATTAAATTTTGGGGTTCAAATCTTCTGATATTTAACATCACTGTAATGGAAAGTGTAATGTTAAAATTTATACACAACTTGGATGATCCTTTCAAGTAACTCCAGATAACAGTAAGGAAATGGTGAATAATGTAAGATGAGGTGGCTTTGTTAGTGCACAGGTTAGCAGCTCCTCTTTCGAACCATAAGAAGATGTTATTGATGGAGTTTTCTGTGCTTTTGTGACTACATGCTATTTCCATAACAAATAGACATCATCATCATGCTAGTAATTTCTCAACTGCTCTGACTCAAAATCAAACAATAGCTACTTTGTGTATACGGATATGTCTTTTGTTATAGTTTCAGAAAAGACTTGAGAACTTGAGAGAGGGTTTTTGGTAACCTTCCTTCAAATTCTATTGTATAAAGTATATTATCCTGTATTTTTACCAAGTGAAAAAAATGGCACAGGTGTGAAGATTATTTTTTATGTGGATTACTTGTATGCAAGTTTTCACTATAACAGCTTATGCCAGAATTTTCACAGTAGTATCCCAATGTCTTTCTATGCTTTCTATCTCAGTTATTTTTCCTTTCCCATTCTATAGGTGGTTCAAGTTGCTGGACAAATCTGGAAAGCTAGACAAGGACCGAGGCGAGGTCCTTGTGGACATCCAGTTCACACGAAACAACATGACTGCGAGCATGTTTGATATCTCCGCTGCAGGCAAGTCACGATCACGCCTCAGCAAGTTCAAGGACAAAGTGCGGGGCAAGAAAAAAGAAGATGCACCTTCGGAGACATTGTCCAACGTGGTGCCAGCCTTCTCTCAGGTGATGACTGACAGCGAAGGCGAAGGGGGCAGCGGCGGGGAGGGGACAGCAGCAGGGAGAGAGTCGAAGAAGAAAAACAAAGTCAAGTCTCTGTTTTCACATAAGACTAATCTACAGAAGAGCTTATCCCAGTCTATGTCCGTACTGCCGGGGAAAAACTCCTCTCTGAGCGGAAGCATGTCATCTGGCCTGAATGTGGATGCTTCTGAGGGTGAGGAACTGTTCTGATTATCTCTGCATCTTTTACACATTTCATATTTACCTTTTAATTGTATGTGAAACTACAACAAAAGCATACAAACACATGGTGGCTAGGCCTGTCATGATACGCTATTTTGAGTTATTGTTCAATATACATATATTTTCGGGGGTCAGTATTTATCATGTATACTTTTTCTTTGTACTGTTGGGTAACTTTTTATTATTTTTCTGTACTACGAAAAGTTTTTAGGTGTAGTGATTCGTCATTATAGTTACAAAGTAAATATTCAATACTGCTATTTTATTTTAGTTTCTGTGTTTTAAGAATAATTTGAAACAATCTGAATAATTTTTTTGTTTGTTAGTTTTTTGATAATTCTACTTTTGGCACTTCAAAATTTGGGTAGCCATCAGTGCCATCTTGATTGTTTTAAATAAGGGAAAATGAACAATGAACTTGCCAGCTTCAGTGGGAGTGGGTGGCTCTGATAATGTCATTGAACTCACTAGCTGGACATAAAGTGACACCTTTTTTCAAATGAGTTTACTTTGTATTTTGTAATGGTGTCCTTAACTTCACATTATGGCTGAAAGATTAATTTCAGTTGAGTCTAAAATTAAGTTGTATAAATCCTGCTAACCCCGTTTAGATCTCCAAAACTTGTTCTGAAATGGGATTTTTGTATTGGCAGTTTTCAGTCTTCTCTGAAATATTAATGCTGTTGAATGTGTTTCAAATATGAACTGAATCTTGATTTTCTCACTTGTTATTGCTATTAGACATTCTTCCATTTTTCGCTACAACTTCTTGTTTTTCCCCTTCTCAGGTAAAAAGAAGTTTAAGTTCCTGAGTCACAAACGCACTGGGAGCTCGGATAAAAAAGATCAGAAACTTGTAGCCGAACACAGCAACCTGTGTATCAACGGAAGCCATGTTTACTGTGAGGAGCCTGCACCTCGGACATCTCGGGCCAGCTCCAACTTCAGCTTGGCCAGCTCCGGGGTGGGCTCCATGGAGGACGTCCCCGACAACAGCTCCCCTCCTTCTGTGGGCTCCAGACGCTCGGTGCGCCACAGCTCCCCCTGGACAGAGGAGGAGGAAGAGGAGGCCACTGAGGAAAACGCACAAGAGGCAGATGAAGAGATGTTCAGGAGACAAGAGCTGGAGAAGTTGGCGGAGGAGGAGAGCAAGATAGAAGAAGAAGAGCGAAGGAGAGAAGAGGAAAGAGAGAGGATTAGATTGGACGAAGAAAAGAGGAGACAAGATGAGGAGATAAGGATTGAGACAGAGAGACTTCAGCAGGAGGAAGATTACAATCAAGAAATTATGAGAGTGGAAGAAGAAAGAAGAAGGCAGGAAGAGGAGGAGGAGCAGCAGAGGAGAAGAGAGGAAGAAGAGATGGAACAAATTAGAAAAGAAGAAAGGATTAGATTGGAGGAGGAACAGAAAAGGCATGAGGATGAAGAGAGGAAAAGAGAAGCAGAAGAGGAGAAAAGGAGACGAGCTGAGGAAAGTAGAGCAATAGAGAAAAAGAGGGAGGAAGAGAGGATGGAAGAGCTAAGAAAACTGAAGGAGGAAAAAGCAAGAAAGGAAAGACTTAAAGAAGAAGAGAGGGAAAGGAGGGAAGAGCAGGAGAGAATGGAAGAAGAGCTCCAAAGAGAGAAAGAAAGAGAAGAACAACAAATTGCAGAAGCAAGGAAATTGGAGGAGGAAAGAAAGCGACTTGAGGTAGAAAGGATTAGATTTGAAAGAGAAAAGGAGAGACAAAGAGAGGAAGAGGAAAGATTGGCAGAGGAGAAGAGGATGCAACAACTACAAGAAAGGATTAGACAAGAAGAAGAAGAAGAAAGGATGAGGTTTGAGAAGGAAAAGGCAGAGGAAGAAATGAGAAGAGAGATCATGGAAGAGGAAGAGCAGAGAGTGATAAAACAGGAGTATGAACGACTTAGAGTACAACAAAAGATACAGGAGGAAGAGGAAGAACGAAGGAAGGAGATGGAAAGATTAGCCGAAGAGGAGGAGGAGAGACGAAGGAGAGCAGAGGAGAAACAAGAAAAGGAAAGATTAGCAGAGGAAGAGCATAAACGAGAAGAAGAAAAGAAGCAAATAGAGCAGGAAGAGAGACAGAGGAAGGAAGAGGAGAAACGGAGGGAGGAGGAGGCACGAGAGAATGAAAGATTAGCTGAAGAGGAGAGGAAATGGCAAGAAGAAAAAAGGAGACAAGAGGAGGAGAGACTAGAAGAAAGGAGGAAACAAGAGGAGAAGGAGAGACTAGAAGAAAGGAGGAAACAAGAGGCGGAGGAGAGACAGAGGGAGGAAGAGGAGAAACGGAGGGAGGAGGAGGCACGAGAGAATGAAAGATTAGCTGAAGAGGAGAGGAGATGGCAAGAAGAAAAAAGGAGACAAGAGGAGGAGAGACAGAGGAGGGAAGAGGAGGATAGATTAGAAGAAAGGAGGAAACAAGAAGAGAAGGAGAGACTAGAAGAAAGGAGGAAACAAGAGGAGAAGGAGAGACTAGAAGAAAGGAGGAAACAAGAGGAGAAGGAGAGACTAGAAGAAAGGAGGAAACAAGAGGAGGAGGAGGAAAAATTAGGAGAGGAAAAAAGGAGACTTGAGGAGGAGAGGAGACTAAGAGAAGAAACTCAAAGACATTTTAAAATGGCCTCAGACACACAAGACTGCATTGAGGTCACTTCTACAAACCCTTTTGATCAAACTGATGAAAACGAAGGAGATGTACCTGACTGCACAGTCACAGTGACTAGTGCTCGACAAAGGTGTGTTCAAACTCACAAAACTATGTATTTTATTACACAGAAAAGTCTTAGTCGTTTATAGTTCATGAAAAGCCATGGTTTATAGAAGAAAAGCCATGAGTTAATAAGGGTTAGAAATTAGAAAGACACACATATTACATATTATATATTATATATTATATATTGTACTATTAGTACAACATTTTTTTAAATTATTATTATAGATATTGCAACACCAACACATCTCTTTTGCATTTAATCAACTATACCCATACCCTTACTCACTCTGCAACGTTTATGTTTCCTTATCTGAGACTTACATACAATATACCTCTACTGCTACCATAACAGCACTGCTCATACTGAGGAAAAAAAAAACAAAAAAAAAAAAAAAACAGTGCTTTATATGCAGTAATATGTTCCTTTTGTTTGTTTCTAACTTCCGTCTTCGGTTCAGGCATGCATTATGTTGGACAACTTTGTAATGGTTATTCACTAGGTAGACTATTCCTTTGTTAGTCACTACAGTAACTAGCTTACTATCTTCAATGTAACCTAAATCCATCTACTTTCATTGATATATGAGGAAATATACAGAATATATAATGATATTATACAGGCTGTATAGGCACAATTTGTGCATATGAAAACTTTGCAGTGGAAATGCATGAAAACCTGCCATGTGCACATTAAGAGTTAATTATGTGTTCTTTATTTGGATGCAACCTTATGTACATAATGTATATAAAAGTGAAATAGAAATATTTTAGCAATGAGCTTTGTGGCTGTTTGGTACAAAACCAAGTCTCTGATAAGCTGTGTTATTCTATCTGCTGTTTTTCTATCAGTGACGTGTTAGTGACTGGTCCCTGTGAATTTGACACCATCATGAAAACTGCATAGCGCTGTGCTGTGCTGTGCGTGTGTGCGTGCGTGTACCTTTCTAAGTGTGTCACTGTGTGGGAACAACCGATATTATCAACGTCTTCAGAGACATTCAGTTAGTGATGTAGTTCAGTGTATCCAGTATCATTACCAAAAATTTTAAATTGACTAACAGTTTTTATGTCAATGTAAGTGGATATACAGAATACCTTGATCATTAATCTGAACTTAAATTATCTAGTCTAAAGTTTAAGTTGACTAATTTACTCCTACACATTTTTACACTTTATTTATCCATCTATCTTTCCTTGTAGTTATGTTACATTAAGGTTTCCTTATCTAATGAAAGCCTGCTCAAATGTCAAATGCTTCTTTTTCATATGCAGATGCAAATTGCCTGTGGAAAGAAACACCTGCTTGTTTGGTGAAAAGGACGACAGTACAACACAACGGGAAAAACGGCAGGCTCCTAAACCACCCGGAATGAATTCATTTGACAGACAGCGAGCAGCACAACATGAAGCCCATGTGAGCAAACCAAGCACAGACAAAGACATCAAAACTGCCAGCATTCTGCCTCAACGTGCTGTGCAAAAGATCGAACCTTCCTCCCATATAAACAATAGTAAACAATCAGCCAGGATTTCAGGAAGAAAGCCAGCTCCACAGAGACCTGGTTTAATAGAGGAGGAGATATTGTTGTCTAAAGGTTCTCAAGGGCCCATGCTAAAGTCAAGGCAAACACCTGCTCTTTCCAGTTTGAATCCATTTGAAGATGATGAAGAGGTAGATGACAATATGACTACCACAGCTGCCTCTGCAATATGGACACCTCCTTTGCAGCCAAGTGTCGAGGTAGATACAGTTTCTCAAATCAAAACCAAATCTTCAAAGACTGCCCATGCCCCAGCTCCACCTGCAAAGAACACCCACACACTTGGCACTGACATGGGCCACAAGGTGACAATATGTGATATAGAAGACGGACAAAACTGTGTACTTGTTGAAGAATCATTAAATAAAGCAGCTGTACAAGAGAAAACAGAGAAGAAGGATGCTCCCCCAGTCCCTTCACGCAGGTGAGTGGCATCAGCCTACTTGTTCTTGTACCACAACATTCTTAATCATTATTTGTACAATCATTATTTGTACTTTTCTTCATTATCACAAAGTAGAGTGTGTAGAGAATGCATGTACGTACCATACCACCAAGAATTCAGATGCACTTATTTGCCAATAATTTTATAATCTCTTCTTACAAAATATGATTATTGTATGCATGTTTGTTTGTTTTTTCAGGCTTCAACCTGTGAAACCTCTAAACCCTGTAGATCAGGTGCCTGTTTCAGCTATTCAAGAGCAAAAGGATAACAAACCCTCTGGAGAAATCATCAACAATCAGGGAAAAGAAAATGTACTTTCTTTTGATTTTACTTAGAGTTTGTGTTATAAATTTTTGTACTCTTCAATCAGTTTTTTACTTTGTTCCCACAGGTCAAAGACATTGGACCATATGCACTGCTAACTCGAGAAGAGCTCATCTCTTTGGTGCATAAACAAAAGAGCCAGCTGTTGGAGAAAAGCAAAAAGATATCGGAGCTAGAACAGTACATTGATAATTTGCTTGTGCGTGTCATTGAAGAGGCCCCCAATATCCTCATGACCATGACTCCTTTAAAATAGGCTTTGTAGTTAAACCTTTGAATGTTTCTATTAAAATTAAGCACTGTATTCTAGTTTCATAATCACATAAACTGAATAATAGCTGTTTTCTATGCATTGTTTTATTCTAAGTATGCTGTGTTTCTGTAATGCATATGCCTTAAATCAGTTTAAAGCAATGAACTGTTTAATATAATCAAATGCTGCTTTTGTTACCAGTATTAAAGTTTACAATTGTCTAATGCACCAAAAGCACTTAATTTGAAATAAAGATTTATGCATTTCTGGTTATCTGATGTATTTATCTATCGGTACATCTCTCTCTCTCTCTCTCTCTCTCTCTCTCTCTCTCTCTATATATATATATATATATATATATATATATATATATATATATATATCTATATATATATATATATATATATATATATATATATATATATATATATATATATATATATATATATATATATATATATATAATCTATACATTTAGATATGTATTTCTCTGTTTTTCAGTGCCCTTTCAAATAGGGTTAGGCTCCTTCATGTGGGCTACATCCTAGGGTTGGCCAGATTGGCTAGATGATGATGATGATTATTATTATTATTATTATTAATTGAGCAACAAAAAATCTTAAAAAAATAAAAACTTGTATTGTCAAATTAAATCAAACGCTTTTTAAAAATTGTATTTAAATTACTCAACCCTCTTGTATCTTTTTTTACACTAGCTGACCGTGACAACCACAGATTTTGTATTTGTATTAATTACGTATATTTTCACGAGGAACGAAAGTTACCGCATGTTCTACACGGATATATTTCAGTACCGGACCACAACATCTCGTTGATTGGTTATTGGCAGGAAAGTAACCGAAATGGTTTTTCCTGCAACTTTCTTCACACTATTACTAATAAATGTCGTCACCTTCTTTTTCCTCCTTCGATATTGTCAGTGATTTCCGCGGCGGTATGTAAAGATGTCTCAGGTGGGTCTGAAGTGTCCGAGCTGCGGCTCTTCCAACATCGTGGAGGATGATTTGTACGCACAGACCCAGAGTGTGTGTGTGGACTGCGGCTCCGTGCTGTCCGAGGACCTTCTGGCTAATCACCCGGTCGGGGGTTCAGGTACAAAATGAAGAGTTTTCTTACCTTTTTAACATTGTAATGCCTCTCTTGGCCAGGCAAGTAAAGAGCCTTAACTCCAGCACTAAGGATTCAGGCTTCTTTAATCTCTATTCCCATGAACCACACAATAATAACAATAATCCAATGTGACTAACTACATTTAGATTGAATTATATTTTGTATAGCTAGAGTAAAGTATTGTTAAGTATTTAAGTATTGTAGTTATCTGGCATATTTATTTATTTCTTGATATATTTTAATAACATGAAAAAATGTATGTAGAAAACGCCATGTAATGTTCAATAATAATGTGTTTATGTACGTGCATAACATTTATTGTCAGCATGGATTTACATGGATTGCAGTAAACAAGCAAGACAATTAATTAGCCATGCTAGTATGCCTTATTTGTGAAGGATTTTTGAATGGAAATACAATGTGTTCATGGTTATTTTGTTTTCAACAGAAGTCAGTTACAGGCACTCTGCTCAGCAATCCAAAAGACCATGCCAAAACCTGATAAAAGGTGAGTTTTTCTTCATGTTCTATGCTATGAGTAAATCAAATCAAATCACTGTTCATCTTGTCCTGCAGGACTGCAGCGGGTCAGGGCTCTCTGTCGTGTCCTCAGAGTCAACAGTGAAATTGAAAAATCATCAACGGCCTATTTTGAACAAGTGTATAACCACAAGAGCTTCATCAATGTGAGCTTGACTAAGAAGGAGGCCTTAGCTGGCAGTTGTGTCCTCATCAACTGCAGGATGCACAATTGGCCTGTTACTGTGACGACCATCGCTTACCTCATCGACACTGATCCAGGGATTGTGGGAGCCATTTATCAAGAGGCTTTGAACACTCTGAACATCTGTGTTCCACCTTTGAGTGTCACTGATGTTATGGAAGCTCACTGTCAGGAGTAGGTGGGATCTGCAAATGTTGATGAATCACTGATAAATTATATTCATAAGTGTATTCATATAACACTGATCATATTTTCATAATGAGCAGTTAGTTAGTGAGTTAGTGAATCGCAGATAAATAGATAGATGAATAGATACTTTATTATCCCGAAGGAAATTTGTATTTCAGGCAGCATATAATACATAATACAATACATAATATAATACATAACATCAATTTATATAACTTTATCAAATTATAGTGAAGTTTTGAATGGTGGTATGGGGGTACAAATGTCTTCCAGAGTTTGTCAGTGGAGCAAGGCAGGGACAACAGCCTGATGACAATAGTTAAACTAGTGTCAATGAGTTTCACATGAGTCTGTAACAGCAATTGCAAAAATACTTAAATGTGTCCACTGGAAAAAAAAAAAAACTGTGGAAAAAAACAGTGGTGAACCATTGACAGCGCTTAGGTTTCACACTTGATGAAAATGCAAATCAAATTCATCAATCAAATTAGAGATGAAAACGGATCTTATTTCACTAAGAGCTACATTTACAATAGATACCGTTGATGAATAAATGGATACTGTTCGCTATATTGCAAAACAAACAATCTTGTGAATCACATTAAGACAGTTAAAGTTGCAGTCTTTCTGATGTATAGAGTGTGACTTATTAAAAGAAAATAAAACTTTGGTAACCTAAAACATTATTTTTTCCAGATACCAAATCACACGTGATCATGTTCCAGATGAGTTGGCGGCTGACACAAAAGAGCTGACAAGAAGAGCTTTGGCGCTGGTGGAGCTGGCAGCCAACTCCTGGATTGTGACTGGCCGAAGACCTGTCCCTATCATGATGGCTGCAACATACTTGTCTTGGCAGTCCCTACAGCCCACAAAACTACGACTCAAAATGACTCTGGATAAATTTTGTCAAATCACAAAAGTTGATAAGAACAGCGCTGCAATGAAAAGAGTAAATGAAATCAAGGCAGTGCTGTGTAAACTTGGGAATGAGATCCCATGGGAAAAACGAGGAGTGACTCCTAATGATGTGATACAGCAAGTGGAGGACATTTTGAGTTATAGATTTGCCTTGATGAGGAAGGCTTTGAAAAGTTGTGAGGACTCGCTACAGGCAGATCTTCAGCAGTGTGATGCAGAAAATAAAGAAACGTCGACGACCAAAACGCCAGAATTAAAAACTTCTTCCAAGACGGGCTCAAGTGTTCTAGAAACTGAGCAAGCAAACAGTGGTGCCTGTGATGAACCAAACTGGGGTAAAGCCATGCTGTTTGCCCCTCCTTGTGTGGTTCATCCCAAGAAAAGGAAAAGGACGCCAAGTAACCAAACAGAAGTAACAGGGAATGAAGACATATCCGACAGTGAAATTGATTCATACATCAGAACACCTCAGGAAGCCCGAGACTTTGCAAAGACTCAAAAGGTTTTTTTGCCAGGAGAGTGACAGTTTGTAATGGTTGAATTATTGTCATCATCATCGTCTGCTGTTTCTAGTTTTCTGAAAAGTAAGAAAAAAGTTATAATTTTTGTTGGCAGAAACCGATGTGGCTAAAATAGTTAGTTTTCTCTTTTGCTTGTTTGTTAATATGCATTCTGTATATTATCAGTAGAGCATACAGCTCTGATTTATGTAATAAAGCAGTCTAGTAAGAATGAGATGTACTGTTTTGACTTCTTTGCTGTAATTGCAGTTCATTTCAGTGTTTTTAAGTTGCCCAAAATACATCTAGGGTATTTTCAGTTATTACACTGACCTTTTGTCTTGGCTTGCAAGAACAGACATTTTTTACACTACTACTGCAGCTACTGCATTTGAAGTTCAGTTTTAAGTGCAACACATACAAAATGAACTGTCAGAATTAAGAATTAGGATGGAGATCTATCTCCTGGCATTTTGGTCATAGAACAGTGTTGCCAGGTTGCCATGAATCAACTAGAATTGGAACGAACATCAGACATGTCCACAGGCCAGCATACTATCCACTATGTATGCTCTATATAGGAATTCCCATGACACAACAGTCTCCCCAGAGATAGAAAACTGTTTAAAAAGTGCACATTTCAAGGGATTCATATTTGAAAAAGTAACACAGAGATACTACCGAGTGTTATTCATTGTGAGGTTAAGGGTTAACATCTAGTGCAAAAGGGTTTTGGGAAATTCACAATGACATAAAGGAGCAGCTCATCTAAGATGCATGCCGTTTTCTCCTTCTAACAAGAGTCTTCAGGCCTTTTGAAAAATCAGGTGATGAGATGTCAAGTAAAATAAGCAGCATCAGAACATAAAAAGGTGAAACAACTGAAATGTAATTGTAAAAATATCACATGGAGCTGTCATCCACATTGTTATTATTCTTTCAGTAATATACACTTTGAGCAGGAAAACAAGTTTATATAGTTTATGTTAATTGGCCCTTTCAAAGTATTTGTAAAGCTGTTGGTGCTCTGAATGCTATCTGCTTTTTAAAGCAGAATGTGATTTAGTTTGCACAGTTTTGACACGGCTGTCTCAAAAACAATTTTTACTCAAGTATTGATCTAACTCCAATATGCTCCATTATTGCATTAATAAAAACTCCTGTACCATCCATTATTTTTGCTTACACATTTATAGTCTTGCTTTAAAGAAGAGTAAAAGCCTTTATGCAGTGCTCTGGTGAGGCTGTAAAATATAACTTTGAGTAGAATATAAACCACTGAGCTCAGTGAAGTCTTGAAATTTAATTTAGTTGACTACTTTTTCATTCATTTTCTTATATGACCAGTCTAATTATGAATAACCATAATGGTTTGTTTTGTACCTACCAAATATGCAAGATCATCAAACTCAGTGTTAGCACTTTTTGCTGCTGCCAGCATTTCTTCATCTGTAACAAACAGGCTGGTTTGTTACCCTAGAACCACACTTAGCACCTTCACCCTTCACTAGAGCACTTTAAAACACTGCACTTTCCTTGCACACAGGACTTTTAACATATTTGCACATCACAAAATAAATTCCACACAATTGGTTTTAAAAAATATTTATTGGCTTTCCTTTAACCATTTTTATTCCTGAGGCACAGCACTTTAATTGGAAGTTGCTTGTCCCTGGAGGAAAAGGGAGACAATAACAAATTACATTTTAAATTGACTTTGTGCAATAAATATGGTGCAATATCTGTTTTAGAATGTTTTAAGTGTTGATGTGTTTAGTGTATTTTATTGTGTTTTAATGAATGGTGGATCTGCTTTTACTTACCTCCCCTTTTTATCTTCTGTCCAGGTGGGAAAAGAGTCCCCCGGAAACGAGCTCCCTCTTTTATGGTTCCGGGCTGGACCACGTGTAACATTTTGTACAGGGGTTTTAGGTTAGGTGTTTTATTGGTTTATGGGTTTTAACATTTAATTGGTGTAATGGTTTTAGGGTTTTATGTATATAGTTGGTGTTTTTAATAGTTATCTGGGTTTTGGGTTGTTTTATGGAGGTTTAGGTTTTAATTTTACGCTAATGATAATTTTAACCATCCCTGTTTTAGCATAGTGGTTTTATCCAATCAGTAGGACCGGCATAAAAGGTGCCTTCAAGATCAGTCTGTGTTCTGCTGCTGGAGAGGAAACTGCTGCCTGCCTCCGTTTTGCACCCTGCACTTTTTGCACTTGCACTTTTGTAATCATTGAAAAAACAAAAGTAAACTGTGGACCACAAGTACCGGTCTGTGTCTGGATTTGTTTTTTTACCTTGCTCACTGAACCCCAAGCCGCTCACGGTCAACCGACGTTACATCATCAATGGAACTTACTCAAATCCTTGTGTATTAATTCTTGGCATTCAAAGTAAGACAAAATTAGCAAGATTAATAGTGTATTGACTTCAAAATTACAAAAGATGATTAGAGCATCTCTAAAATGGCAGCAGGTTGTGATATTATTTATCCACAATAGAGAAGTTGTGTTTGCAGAGATAGATGCTAGTTCACCAGGTATTACAGATGGTTGCATATTAAGATCATAATAATCTCACCTGTTCTTATGGATGTAGCAATATAACTAACTGGTCTATTATTGTTTTGAACATAGCATAGCCTTAGTGTCTAGTGCATTTTAATTCTTGTCAATGTTTTGTTTTTCCCCTACTGTGCCTTCCAAAAACAGGAATGAAAGGAGTTTTAATTGCATCTTGGTTGGCAGGTCTGCGTTGGTGCTGACAATAAATTATCACATTGTTTTTCTTTTGGTGCTTATCTATTCAACATGCAAACGATTGGCATTTCAATTTTGAAATGCATTTTAATCTGTTAAATTGGGGCAATAAAACCTCACCTTGACTACTTTGAAGGCATTTTTAAAAGATGTCCGAGAAGAATACTAATAATTTTCCGTTCCATTTTATTCATGAATTTTACAAGAAATTTACAACACTGGCACTAAACACTACATTTTTTTTTTTTTTAATGACATGTCTCAGTAATTAAAACAAACATGCAATCAGCATCTTGAAGTCCCAACTTCTTTGCAATAAAATACTTCTTATTAAATGTCAAGCCTCCTAAAGCATTAGTAACAGAAAGCAGTTACAGTTAAATGAGCCTGTCCCCTGAAGTTTATTTTACATAATTTGATGAGTGAAGGTACATGGTTCTACCCTGGAGCTTAACTGAAATGAAATCTCCAGAGGCATAATGGGATTTATTGAAAAGGTTTTTAACAATGTGCTCCTGGAGATAATTCATTTTGACATCAGTGGTCTTCTGAAAAGGCATAACAGAAAAACTTGTGGCCAAATGCTTGAATGCAATACCCCCTCATTACAAGATCACAGTGATGATAGCTGTTATGCACACAAAATATATATTTACACTGCTTTAAAAATATGTCTATGCACAAATATACAACAATTTATGTCTTCACCAACAGTTTGTTCTTTTGAGAGCCTTGAAGATCCTTATATTTTGTAAAACCAGCGAGTAAAACCCATTACTATTAATACCATTAGACATAATTTTCAAATGTAAATGTATAATGCTGACAGGAGATGGTTGATAGTGAATGTCCACATACCACATAGCTTTTACTGCACTGTTGTCTTGAGCCATCAAACAGGCTCCTCTGTGCACACAAGATAAGACCACCTGCCCACAGTTAAATTGTCTGTCACCAGAAGCATCTGGGCATAAATGTTCATATGTGAAAGCTAGACGTTCATTTTAAAAAGATGTGTACATATTTTAATTTACAGGACAATAGTGGGTGCACAGTGATTGGTGGGCGCTCTGATGCGGCGGTTGCACTTAAACATCTTCCTGAGCTCGGTTCGGAAGCGGTCATGGAGCCAGGCATAGAGGAATGGGTTACAACAGGAAGAGCTCATGGCACAGAGGTGACACAGAAGCTGGATCAGTAAAAAGTAGCGCTTGTTGATGAGGTGAATGTCTATGTCTCTCAGCACATTGAACACGTGGATGGGCAGCCAGCATACAGCAAAGGCGGACACCAGAAGAGCCACCAGCCTGAAGATCTTCCTCTTGCGGGCCTGCTGAGGTGCATTCTGGGTCTTGGTCCTATTCCCTGGAGCCACGCACTTCTTTAATTTGACAGTGATGCACAGATAGGACACAAAGACAGCTGACAAGGGCAGAACATAGGTCACCAGAAGTGTGCTGTATGCATAAGCTCGCCTTTCTTTCTCTTGACCTATCCAGAACTCCTCGCAGATAGTGAAGCCCTCCTCTTTGAACTCCACATGATATGTGTGCATAATAGCCGGAGCCACCAGAGCACAGGACAGGAGCCATATCCCTGTGAGCACAGCAGCACAGGTGGACACAGAGGTGCGCTTCTTCAGAGGGTGCACTGTGGCCGAGTACCTGCAAAACCAGAGAGGAAACAGGAAGTTTACTACAGACAGATTGGGTCATGTACTGTGCAACTTACTCCAACTTAATTAATGTTCTGTATGATTCATCTTGTTTTGCCATTTGTGAAATGCAAATTAGTTGATTAGAACCCTCCCAGTGATTTAATAAGCAGATTTAGCTCACACTGAAACTGTAACAATTGACAAGTATTAAAAGACATTTACACCCTTATGATGCTGAGCAGAGATACAGATTTTACATAAGGGAAACCACAGGGAGGAAGGCAGAGCAATTATGCCTTACTTAATGTATGTCTGATAATTAGGTACCATTACAGGCTAAGTATGAATTATTACTCATTGAGAGTCCAGTGCCGGAAATTAAATGAATCTGTTTTAGATCATTTAGATGTAAAATCTTAGCTTTTTGAATGGTTTGCACAAAATGCACTGAATGGAATTAGCCCATATCCGACAATAATAAATGTACTGAACAAACCCTAACAACTGTGTAGCTTCTACATTAAGGGTCAAAGCCAAATGTTGTGAAGTGGAGCCTTAGAATCCTGTAAAAAACATGCACTTTTACTTTACTCACTCAGTCATGATTAGATACTGCAGCTTCCCCAAGTGTTAAGTGTTGGCATGTTTTAATATTATTAGCTATCATCCCATGGTCATGAAGTGCTTTTGACTCTTAGCAGATTCTTTTCGACATTATATTCTTGATGGTGTGTTGCTCTTTATATAGGCTACTTGACTGAACTTTAGCCCTGCCTAAAGTTGCATCAGATCTGTATGTATTAAATTGACTGCAAAGATCAAGACGTGTCAAAAGCCAAAAGCTTGGCCAAGTTGCATAATCACCTAAAACTTCCTTGTTGTTGTTGTTTTTTTAAATTATTATTATTATTTTTTTGTTTGTTTGTTTGTTTTTTGCTTTTTGTTTCTTAGTTTTTTCCTGGTATTACTAATGTTCTAATAAACGATTGGTTTAAATTGACTCAAAAATGCACTCCTTGTTCAAAATTAATTAATTACTTATTAATAGATTATTAATTGTAGTACTACTGTTGGTTTTGCATTCTGTCCATATATAACCATATATTAACCTATACCATATAATAATCTATAGGGTAGGGCTATAATATTTTGTATCTAGTCCAGTATCAAATATCTATATGTTATTCTTGATACAATTACTATTGTTCAACAAATTGTACCATTAAATACATTAAGTAATTATCTTTTGAAAAACGGTGATATTGGCCTAACGATCAGCCTCTGCTGATGTGTAGTGTGAAAAATCGCACCTGTCAACAGCTATGGCCGTCAGTGTGAAGACGGAGACGTAGACGGTGACAGGCTGTATCAGGAACACCAGGTAGCACATGGAGCGCCCAAACACCCATCCGTGGGGATTGAAGGCGTACGCGAGCGTAAAGGGCACGCAGGTCACGCACATCAACATATCGGAGAAGGCCAGGTTTCCGATGAAAAAGTTGGTGACGTTGTGCATTTTACGCGTGCGGCATATGACGTAAATCAACAAATAGTTTCCGAAGACCCCCACCACGACCACCAGCGCGTAACAAGGGATGATCAGAGGTTTGAAAGTCTGCAGCAGGGCCACGTCGGCGAACTGAGAGCTGTGGTTCGCGGAGGAGTTCTGCACTGCGACCTCATACATAAGTCCATTCGCACACGCGCCATCCAAATCACTGTGATTAGCCTCCATCAGTGCGCTGGTCGCAGTTGATGGCCTTCCTGCATTCAGAAAACGAGATAAAGCACACCTTTAATAACCACGCGTCCGTGCCATTAGTGGAGGTCATGATATTTTCAAAATGGGCATCCACATAGCTACTCCCACGCTTTCATAAACTCACATTCTCACGTAGTAAAGAGGCAAAGACTTACTGTAACCAAGCTTTTTGGTCACACTATTGAGGAAGATTGTGCTGATGATAACCGGAAAAAGAAACATAAAATAGAAATGTTTTTGTAAGACCCAAAAGTCGTTTTCACAGTTTGAGGCGCGTGCAACAGACGCTTTAGGGTTATAGCCTATTTCAACTGTAGCCTGCAAATAAAATTATGAAAATATTGGCTAGACAGTTCACACAGCTTATATTCCTATGTTCTTTTTTCCCCTCTTACATATAATTCATCCAACTGTTACAGATGTAAAAATTGGAGGCTGATGGCCTCAATTAATAAAATTAAATCAAACTTTGCATGGAAAACTTTGTATAGCATGTAACAGTAACAACCAAAATAGTGCATTAAAAAGTAAGTACAACGCAATAATACAAAAATACAATAGCAATATTATTATGTGTTCAAAGCAATTGTGAACAAATTAGTTTTAAAAGTTAAAATCTACAATATTTTACAGCATATACAAATACATTTTCATTATTAGGTTTTTGTTTTCTTTTTTTAATCACCAACCTAAATTGCAGCAATCCCTGTGTGTAAATGTGTAGTGCGTTGCGTTAGGAAGCATCTTTGAAAAAAGACAAAAAAAAAAAAAAAAGATGAAAGTAAACCAATGCTTTAATGTATTCTCGTATATGTACAGAGAATGCTATGCCCTTCACTATAGATTTATACTTGCAATCAGTCCATTTATGTGCTGATTTCTTCCTTTGGTCCGCAAAAGAAAAGAACCAATATATGAGCTCCAACATAAAGCAGCTGAGCTTTTGTGTCGGGAAAAAAAACAAGCGAGTTAGAATCCATGCTCGGCTGTAGCACAGTCTCCATGGATGTCCATAATCAAACATATTAGTTTTTTCCACAAACTAAATGTATTTTTGTGCTAGCCTCACCCTGTTGGAGTAAAGGCACAAACATCTCAGCACAGATGGAAATTATTATTGGAAATAATGGAGATTTATGAAAACATGGGAGGCTATTTCTATACACCTACTACCCTCAGGCTATTAAGTTACCTTTATTAAGTGTGGTGTCTGTAATGAGGAGCCTTAGTGCAGAGTGGGCTCAAGAAAATGAAGCGTGTTTAATGACTCATGCACTAACCATAATGTAGCACCTTTAATGACATATCTAACTATACTAACCATAATGTGGAAAATGTGAAAGCCTAGACTGTTTGTGGTGATTGGGTAAAAAAAAAACCATGCCAACATGCCACTGTCTTTAGTTACTGATTAAACATGTAGTGAAGAGAGTGGCGTAGCATCCATTCGAGCCCACAACACTTTAAGGGCCCAGGCAGGCTAGGATTGGCCCCCCTCCCCAGACTATTTATTTAAATATTTTAAATAATGGAAGCATTATAATTTTTTTCTACTTTATCTACACTGATACATCAAATGAATAAAGCACAAAATGCAGATTGAGATGTGTGAAATTCAAAAGTGGGGCAGAATAAAACCTTGGTTTGTAACACTAATTATCTGCTGTTGTGACGTTGTAATACCAGACCAGCATTTAATGTTTCTTAGTGGTAATGTGGGTATTTGATACAGTAAGACAGTTTCTTTATGTTAAAAAAGTTAAATTGACACTGACTTGGTTCACTGGCGTGTGTCTTGACACCACTGCAGTGCATGTATATCAAATGATTCATGCTAAGCTTTGCCATTACAGATGTTCTACAGAACAGAATACACAGACTATGTTTTATGTTTTACACTAAGCAATACAGCACAAACCCCTGTACTTCCACGTTTTCCCAGGGAAAATAAATCAATAAAATATGTCTCATGTCAATCAATTTAATTTGACTTACACTGAATACAAGTAAAGCAACAATTTTGAAGCTATATGTGCCACTGTGATTACAGCAATATGATAAAAAAAAAAAAAAAAAAACTGTTAGGCTTAGGGTCAGTTATATAATTCTTCATGTTTTCTAATTTGTTGGTTGTTGGTGTAAACTAAATCTTCCTAGTGAGAGTTAACAGATTTTGTGTGGAGTACAGTAAATTTATATTTGATCAACAGCACTTTCCATTCAACTGTATGTAAATGTGCATTGTTAAATTGCAATGCAATTAGGTAGATTCAAACTGAAAAATATTCTTAGTCATTAAAATCCTATTATGCAGTTTCTCAATACATTGTATTTAAATAAGTCATAATACCGGTCTAAAAGTCAAACATAACAAGGCTGCTCTCTTACCTGTGTGTCTTCACAGAGCAGGGTGCACAGCAGACCTCTCTTGTGCGCTCCTTCTCCAGTGAAGCTGGTTTAGCGACAGGATCCAGAAAGAGGAGAGAGAGAGAAAGAGAGGGAGACAGGAGGGGGAGGTGACGGGGGAGAGGGAGGTTCAGTCCACTCTAATGGAAATGACAGTAAGCCAATGAGACTCAAACCACAATGATGAATGTCCCTGGACTTGATGGTGACGCGTGATCTTGATCAGTTCTGTCCTGGTTCACAGATTATGTCTATATGTATAGCATGGATCACAACATGGACACAAGTGAATCAAGTTTGCTGTTAGGTTGCACAGCCAATACTCTATTTATTCAGATAAACATTGCTTGTAAATACATAAAATGTGTTGACTGCTCTGTGAATCGACTGACAGGAATTCATTTCATCTTGTAAATGTGGTTCTGAATTATCGATATTGTGCTGTATGTAAGAACAATAGCCAAGCTCTTTTTTTTTTGTTTGTTTGTTTTCTTAGTCTTTATAATGATAGAATATTCTGTATTGTTTTGAACAAGTTTTATGATTAAAAAAAAAGATTACTTAATAATTCATTACTTAATTATTAAACTTTATGACCTTGAATTTATGTTGAAAATACATTTTGGTGGAGAGGCTTGGCAAACCAAATATGGACATACAAAGGCTCTATTTAGGTGTATCATTTAATTATTAAATTAGACAAATACAGCACCAGCAGCTTTGGCTTTTTTCTTTAACCAAATCATGTTTTTCCAGTGATAGACTAAACTCCATTGCATCTAAAATTTTACATTTTTATCTCACACAAAAATAATCCTAATCCTTTTCAGATCAGTGTCATTTTGTTGTGATATATTTTATTTTCCTGACCATCAGATATGAGTCACAGAGAAAGAAATATATCTTCCTTTCAGCAAGTCTATCATTGTTTTTCCTCCTATGCTCTTGTTTTTTTTTTGTTTTTTTTGTTTTTTTTTCTCATCAGCCAGTAGCTCTTAAAAACCTATAGGCTATAGGACACCTTGTACTATATGTTGGTAAATGGTCAATTGCTCACATTTATATAGCGCTTTGCACCTTCCAGACACTCAAAGTGCTGTACAACAAGTTACCTCCAATTCACACAGACATTCATGCATAGGTGTACAAAGACACTGGGGGAGAGGTGGGTTAAATGTCTTGTGGCAGTATTCATTTTTGGAAGCTGGAATCACACCACCAACCTGTAGGTCAGTGGTTCTGACTGCTCTTTCAATGATGTTCAAATCCACCAGCTACTCCCACCCTACAAGGTCAAACACACTGCAGATTACTGTATTTCTCTCATAAACAGATCCGTAAGTTTTAGTTGCATAACAATAACCAAATTAAAACTGAGTTTGTTTACTTCAACTATTTTAAAAGATTTTTGAAATACAATATATTTGAAAAAAGAGCATAAAAACAAAACCAGGGGCAGGAAAGCTAGCTTTATTTCATTAGCAATAAAAATAAAGCCAGTGGCACATGGATGTTGCTTTGTTATTGTTGCAAGTAAAATATTGACTTGAGTTTTTGCAAAACGTTACGTCTCTCTGGGAAAAGAGCTCCCATATTTGTGTAACTAATGACTTTGTGGAGTGAATATTAAAGACTGCGTGTCCTCATATTTTTGCCAGAGTTAGTAAGTAATTTCAATATGAAGTTAAATATCCAGTGCATAAAAGGACTCACAATGTTAAGGCACATGAGTTAAAAATATTCAGATGGACTTTCTTAACTATTATACAAGCTTCACAGAATTGGATGGAGGGGGGAAGGTGTCAGTGTATTATCAGTGTGCTTTAACCTGCAGGGACACCAAGCTGTTTTTCTTTCACATGAATCTATGAAATCTCATTCTGAAGATCAATTTCTATATGTTAAAGATACCCCTGTCCCTTAAAGCTGTCATAGTAAATAGATTGGACTTTAACAAACAAAAGCCACATCTGTTTGAACTGAAGTGTGTTTGAGCTGTGGGGGTGTGCAGCTACTAATGATCACGAGCCATGTCAAAGAAACTCCATCTCTTAAGAAACAGCACACACTTGCTTCTTGAGCAGATCCCATCAAGCAGAATGTAAATAAGAACTGCTTTTTACTAGGCAAGCTTAACAAATATCCTTATATGTTTTATGTTTTTAACATATCAATGAATAAATTTGGTACAAAATGGAGAATGCTGATTCCATTCCAGCATTCTAAATCCTGACAACAAGCACAAACATAATTGAATCCACTTTTACTCATTGTCTGTGCTGCTTGATCTGATTCCCTTTTCCTTTCCCTTTTCCCTTTTTTTTTAAAATCATTGATGTATCCTTGGGCAAAAACTCTTGTCATTTTGTAGTGTATGTAGGCTTTAGTGGATTGTTGATGTAAAGCTATTGTACATTATACACATTCAAACTAAAATCTTGAACTCAATTTTGATAAGGAATAGACTTGATACTCAATATCAATTTTGATACCATGATGATACTAAAAATGCTTTTTATGTAGACAATAGAATGTCATTAACAACATTAAATTGTATCTGTGTAATC